TGTACCTACAGGAGCCCACAAAGACAGGAGACTCAAAGATAACCAAGCAATTGATGTTGATATGCCATTCTGGCCTAAAGAATGGAGAAGGGGCCAGCTTGTCAAATAGAAGGAGGGTGATTCACAGGAAGAAGAGCAGATGTTTAGCAATCAAATGTATGCCCTGCCATGCAAGTAAGTCTTTCAAAAAATTTAAAAAAAAATTTATCTCTGATAATAGCTGTCTTTCTGGGACAGGCCCCCTATCCACATTCTTTTAGGCAGGTAAGGGAGAGGTAAAATTTTTCCTGAATCTGCTAGGTCTTGATTGCCTTCAGATCAAAATAATTTGCAAGCCAAAGTGATACATTTTGGGATAGCACATTCTGCTCTCCTTCAATTTTATGAATGAGTGATGAATTGAATTAGATAAAATAACGGCCACATATTTAGGGATAACTTCAAAAGATAAAAATTATTCCAGTATTTCATGCAAAACTAAATTATCAGTGAGGATTTCTTCTTTGATGCAAGTGTGTTTTTCTCCCTCTAAATTATAACAAGCATAAGAGATAATTGTTTAATTTTTTTGATTGTGGAGATCACAAATTTAAACTTGATCTTTTAAATTTAAATTCATCACTTTTCTCCCGATTCCCAATATTGTAATTATCATAAAGTAGGTATTGAGCAGAAGTGAGAACTATTAGAAAAATAATTTGTTGTTAATGAAATCAGTGGAATGCCACAAGATTCTTATTGAGTTCTTTCAAGTACTCAACAGGTCAACTAAAATCAAGAATTTAAATTCTTAAACTTATGACTAAATCCCTTCCTCCATCTATATTGAAAGAAATTCTTGGCCCAGGTTAAAGAAATGCCTCCTTGAATTTGATCAAGTATTTGCATTTCATGTTTAAGAAACACTTGCAGAATTTGATATTTCTCTCAGGTACTTGCAGGGGGCTTAGTTTTAATATCATTTCTCTTGATGTATTAGTTATTATTTTCACATAAATTGTTTAGCAGCAGGCTATATATTAAATCCTGAAGTATGCTGTATTCTTAGTATTTCTGAAAATAAATAAAAGCGTATAGAGGAAACATTTATGAAAAATGACATGCTTTCCTATATATTCAGCTGAAAAAACAGAGGTTTATTAAAGAAAACAAGAGATGCTTTCTAGTGGTGGAAGATAATGCCCCAAATAAACATGAATAAGATCTGCTTTGAAAAATCTCTGGATCTTGTTATGGTCAGTTTCAGGGGCTTATGGTGACAACTTTAAAGATGGATTTATTATGGCTCTGGTCATATTTGTACAATGCCTTTAAAAAATAAGCACCTGGGCACAGAATTTTGCTGAGAGGGCATTCATATGACAACTGGCATTGGGAAATGAATGAGGAATGGCTGAAAATCTGCAGGCTCATAGAGCATGACCAATTTTATTAAACCATTTCAGTCAGCTCTGTTCAGTGTCTATCTCTAGGCACATCAGAGAAGCCCATCACCACACTTAGTGGTACTCAGAAAAAGATATTAGAAAGGCTGACAAATTATCCTGACCTAATTAACTGGAATTCAGACTGGGGAAGTATTTTATGTAGTCTAAATTATTGTGCATCTAGTTCTGGCTATTTTCATCACATAGTGATGACTTCTTAGTATTTTGCATTTACATAGTAGTACTCTTACATTTGCAAAGTATTGAAACATTTGAATTAACAATTTGTAATATTCCCATATTAAAGATGAAAAAACTGTGGCATGGATAAATTAAACTATCTTTGATGGTTAATTTAATCCTAATATACTATCTAAGCCTACTTGTCATCAATTATGAACAAGACAAATATGGTAGAGTCTAACATGATAACAGTAGAAGACCATGAACTTTTTCATGACTAGCATTACCTGATATATTTCCTCATTTGTGGTAGTGATTCACCTGTTGATAATTCTTGCAGAGGTAGAAGCATCATCCTCTAATGTAGATTAATGTAGATTAAAATCTACATATTAATGTAGATTTAATATGTAGCATATTAAATCTTGTGTATATTTGCCTGTGTGTGAGTTGGTTTAAGTTGCAAAAATTTCATGAAGATAATTCTGACACCCTCACTTCTCATCCTTAGTGAGAATCACTGACCTAAAAGAATAATATTCATAAATTCCAGAAGAGTCTGAGATTATATCTTCCAATTACCTAGTCTAAAAATATTATTATACTTTGTTTATATTTTAAAAAGACACTTTTCAGACTTGAATATTATTGATTTGTGTTTGCATGTGAATAAAGCAATATTCAATTTTTCTTAGCACCTATTATGTGAAAAGCACAAAGCCCAATTTTTTACCCAATAGACCAGGCCAGTAATTCACAGATTTTATCATGTTTTAATCTTATGAGACCTTCCATAACTCTCCATTTGAATGAAATTCCCTCATTTCTAAAAGAAACAGATGTTCTCCTATTGCCAAGGGAAGATATTAAAAGTACTTTATATAGATTGAACTATTTTTTAAGGTTTTGGAGGGACATAATTCTACTATAACTGACAATTAAAAGTGTCTGAAACAAACATACTCGTTTATATGCCATTCATAAACCTCATTATCTTCAGAAACTAGATCTAAACTCATCTTTCTTGAATGTCTTCTTCAGTGGATAAAATAGACCCAATTACTCTGTTCATTTCTTTGTCTGGTGACCTTTGGACAGATAATTACAAATATTCATGTTTATAGTTTTACAGCTTTTATTATATTTCAGTCATTGACTCTGTTTAATATTCACAAAAGTCCTATAAATGTGGTTCTATAATTTTCAACAATTAACAGATAAAAAGACAGAGGCACAGAAATATGAAGTAGATTAAGTAGCTTGACAGTAATCACACAAATAGGTGAGATATAGACACAGAATTTGAACTCAGGACCGAAGATTTCAGTGGTCATGTTCTTAAGACTCTGTAATACTATCACCCAGGAAGAGAGTCATTTGTGATTCATTTTTCCCCCACTGGGATAGAGATATTCTTTCTTAGTAAAATTAATAGATCTATTTGTTTCAAATCTGCCATTCAGAAATTTTAGGCCCACAGAACTAAATTAATATGTATTTTTTGTAAGATTTTATAACTTGATTCTAATAACTTCTGAAACTTCTTAATCCTCAAGGTCATACTATATTTTAATTCTGTCCTTCCAAGGTGCTCACTAACCCTTCCCAGTCTGATGTTATTAACTAAGTAAATGAGCATGTTTTGAGATGATTGATGGAATTATTAAATAGCACTCATCCTAGGACTAACCCCATTACTCATGTTTCTAGACTTTGCTATTAAACTATTTGGACTACAATTATGAAAAAAATTATATTCCTATTTAGAAGTAATAAGGTAAGTCTCTCAGCTTTCTCAAATTTTGGGGGAAAGTAAAGATGGTATAAGAAAAAACATTTAAAAATTCAAAAATGGATGAAATCTTTTTCATTTATTGATGAGATTATCAGGTTAAGCAAAAACCTTCCTAGAGTTCATATAATTGCTGATTATGTTTTTAATTACTGTAATAATTATTTTCCAATTCTTCATAATTTAACTGTAATTTAGCAGAATGACTCATCAGGTAGCATTTATTTTATCATGAAATTATTCTCATTATTTTACAGTACCTAGTTGTGATAGAGGTTTATGTACTCAACAACAAAATAAGACACAAGTTACTTGAAATGTCTGTTCTTCTATTTTTAATTAAAAAAAAATTTATATATGGAATTGAACATTTTCCCATAACTTTTCCCTAAAGTTCAGAATATGATTGCAATAAATTTTAAGTTTCTAAAATATCTATTTGAAAAATCCACAAAGAGATCTGGTAAAGAGTATATTATTCTTTTTATAAAATACTTTAGCATTTTGTGTAGCAACATCAAACTTTTACAATAAAATAATGTCAGTATAATACATTCTCTTTTAACAAATTATATTTCCCTTATGGACGAAGATATTTGCAATGCTTAATTTTCTGGAGAAATTTAAAATCCTTTTGACTTTTGCTATTGGTATGTTACTGTTTTTATTTGTATTCTTTTCCTTGATTTTATTTGTTTCTATTTCTTCTTATAATTAGGACTTGTTGCTATATTTTTCTGCAAAATCACTGGATCCTATTATACTTAACAATTGTGCTGCCAAATTAAATAAATAAAAAGGCTGTTTTACTCTATATTGCCTTATTGCAACTTTTCACTGTGATCCTATCAGAATTTGTCTGACATGAAGTCTTTCGAGATCAATATATAGTATCCCTTCTCCTACATTAAATAAATTGGATCTGAATTTCACTTTGTTACTCACTACTACAATTAATTTAACTTTTGGTGCATTCCGAGGCTATTGCTTTTTTGTTTTCTAGATAATACAGAACAAAGGTTGAATTGGGAACTCTACACTACACCTAGTTTAGAACTTAATTAACCACAAAAGTTAAAAGCGAGGGCAGTCCCCAATAAGCTGACAATGAAAGTGGTGGCTGCCCTCAACCTGATAAGAAAGAAACCAAGAGTTTTAAATTGAGATCACCACCAGCATAGCCGTAGGTTTCAGCAGTGACAAACTGTAGTTACAGATTCCAACAGCCCCTGATGAAAAGCTGTTCTCATTCCCTAATGCTTTATGGGAGAGCTGCAGCTGCTTGGAATATTTTTCAAGCAGAAAGCCATCATCATGACAACACCAGAGTAAAAAAGGGCAAAAAAAGTTCTTTCTGGTAGGGAAATAAAGACATCTTAAGCTTGACTTCAAAAGCTCTCTACAGCAAACAGTAACTGTGGAAATACTGTTTCATCTTTGCCTCTGGGATATTATTAAGCTTTTCTAGTAGCTCTAACTGCAGGAGAAGGGATTACAGAAGTTGCTGCTGTGTAGCTGCCTGCCATACAAATATCTGGAAAAGCTGGGATCATGGATTTATATTCGGGCCAGTGATTAGCCAACCCCAAGATACTGACCTGGTAATAAACACGGCAACACACCTCTTTTCACACCATACAAGTAAAAGCACGTAAGACACTTCCATCTCTTGCTGAAATGTCAAAGACTTCTCTTTCGTTAAAGTTTGCAAAATTCAGCCGGGCCAGTTCTATCTACAATGACTAATAGCATGCATCATCCAGCAATGCCATTCACACCGCAATGGTTATAGCTGTGTCAGCATTTCCACGATGATTCTCTGCTTTCAGAGGTTGTAGCTCAATTGTTTAAAAATCCACTAGGAATTGCAATGACCCATGCAGTCCTGGTGTAGAAACTATACAATATCATTTTAGCTCAGAGGGCAGAGACACAATAAAGATTAGTAATCAAAGGTGCTTTATTATTGTTATTTATTTGATTCAGCAGCTCAATATGTTTTTGCAAAATCATTTTTCAGTGGAATGTATCTACTGTCCATTTGATGTGGATGAACTTCTTGTTATTTTGAAAAAGGGAAAACAAACCAATTTCATTTTTTTAAAATGAATGAGTACATGCAGAGTGTATTTTATCATGCTATCAAAGATTTGTAACCAAAATTGAATGAAATTTGGATTCTCTGTGTAAATAAGAGCTACTATGTATCTCGGTCTCCTAACAAAGTAAAATCCATAATGATCACTAAATAATTACTAGATGTCTTAACAGCTGGCATTTTGTTCTTACAGATTTAAATGTGAAAATGAATCTAACACTTAATGTGCATACACATATATGATATTGTGAAAAATATAATACACTTAGCTTTCAAAATTTATCTTCTCAGGACAAAAAAATGCCAGGAACACAATGATAGGCTTAAAACATAATCAAGATTAAACAATAGGTATTTTAAAACATAGAAAAAATTTATTTTTAATGAACATTAACTTGATTTGATTTTTCTCAAAAGCTGATACATTTGACAACTCTTTTATAGACACAACTGAATGAAATTTATTGCTGTTTTTTAAAAGCTTCTAATAATTAGGTCTCTATGACAGTGGTTTATAGTCTTCATTTTCCTATGCAGTTGAAATTTTAAAAAAATCATTCTATGATTATTCTCTGATTTTCTGCCTCGTCTAGATCATCAGTGAGACACATCGGTGTAGCCTAGCCATTATTATTTTCTTCAGTTTCATTTTTATCTATTTCATTATTTTAATTAAAATGCATTTTGCATCTATAATCAGTTTTGAATAAAAGAGATTTATAGTAAAGAAGGACTATACAGTAAACCTACCTCTCCTAAATTGTACTGAAAATGCATTATTTTAAATCAGGGCTTTATAAGTACTTAGTTTATTATTTTATTTTCATGTTTGAGGCTGTCCTTAGGCTATAAAATAGTGAGATCTGACCTTGCATATTAGTATATTTTAATAAGCATTCAATAAAAAGCAACAAGTAAAAATTTATTCCATCAATGTAAAGAAAAAGTGCATATAGCATTATAATGAAATTATCACTTATTTTTGGTGAGGCTAAAATTACATTAGAGTTTTTAAAATAGTTTAAAGTTCTGTGGTTCCTTTTTGAGAAGTAACTGTCTGCATTTCATCTCTTGACATGAAGCTTTAAATATCAAAGTGCTTTGATGAATAATAAATACAAATATAAATGAATAAACAACCTGATGCCAGGAAAGAGGCAGATAAATATTCAAAGGAGGTGACTTTGTGTTTTGTTTTGTTATTTTGTAATGTATTTTGCATTTGGCCTAGTCAACAAATAGATGAAAACAGAAAAGTAACATAAAATATTTACTGTACAGATAAGCCACTCTTGTAGTTCCTATAATACTTGATGAGTCTAAGGTGCAAAAATCCAATATTCTGTTAAGCAAAATAATCATTCTGCCTTGGCATTTTAATCTCCAACATATTGGGGTGGGGGTGACCTATGCAATTTGATTTCCAAATTGATTTTAAAAATCGGTCCTTATGGCAGAATAAATGCAGTATTTGATTCCCTGTGGCTGTTGCTGCTCCATCAAATTATTGCCAACTTTAGGGCCCGGTGGGGAGGAGAAGCACTCACCGCTGCTCCTGCTTCACTGATCTGGGAGCACAGGCCATAAGCAGCCTGATTCCAGGAAGTTATGTCCAGGGATTGTGGCATGGAGACAAGTATGCTGTGGCTCTGAACTAGAAAACTTCAGAGAAAGGTGCTTATTTTATATAATATGATAGGAAAGTCAGGATACATAATGAAAATACGCTCTGTCACTGCTTCCCTGTTTGGTGGGTAGGTCATGAGTCAGGCTGATGAAATGTAAAAGCCAGAGAGTTGAAGTTTTCCTCCTGCTGTGATCAGACGTTCTTAGGATTCCAGGGGAGGTAATCTTTAAAGAAAACATGGCAGAGCTTTGGAAAGCTTCGTGATCATGACCCACCAGTAGCCCATGCTCTCATAGGAGGAGCCAGTTTGAGTTAACCTGTGGTCAGTTTTTATCCTGCTATTCTTAGATACACTAAAATTACAGACCTTAATCTCTGAGGTAGAACTTTAACTCTCACCATGCAGAGTTCCTTCCCAAAAAAAGGCACTGCACAAATGATTTCATCTTAAAATATATAGAAACATTCTATGTAGCCATGCCTTCTATAATGTTCCGAACTCAATAACAACTTTTATATTAATATTACTTATAATTTACAAAGGGCTTATAAACACAAAATTAAATTCTCATAATGATATTTAGAATTGACAAGGAAATGTTATAAACCATCTCTCCTTTCCTTTTTCTTTTCTTTTCTTATTTATTTATTTATTTATTTTTTCTTAAGCAGAAAACGAGAGTTTGTAAGGAAGGAAGAAGTAATATTCTCTGGCAAATAAATAAGCAATAAACACAAGCTTCCAGGCCCTGGTCCCATATCTAAGGCAGACATCAGTGTTTATTGTGTAGTATAATCTCTACTGAATCTAGACTTTATTTATGTAAGCCTTCTCAACACAGTATTCACAACATATACCAACAGCAGAGCAGTTCAGGCAAGAAAAGAAATAAATTTACTATTCCACTCTCATGGACCATTGAAAACAACAATCAGTACACACAATATCCAATTCTAGCTTACATGTTCCAAGTAGTCAGATTTAAGTAGAAGCATATCCAAACCATAAAAAAATACAATATCAAATGATATTGATGCACAGTATCCCTATGATATCTATAATGTTACTATTATAGATATTCAAGTAATAAAAGTAAATGAATATGGAATTAAAAAAATAAAAACCCAAGTATAAACAAAAGCGAAAGAACTCTGCTGTATTACACTTGAATAACATAGCCACTCTGAAGAAGGAAAAAGCAAAACCAAACAAACAAATTAAAAAAACAAAAAGATGAACCAAATTAATTTATGTAACATTTGAACATAGCATTTTAACTGTACACTCTCAATGTAAGGGAAATTTAGAAGTGCAAATCTTTAATTCTTTCTTGTAGGTTGTGTTTTTCTAGTGGTGTGGACCCAACAATATTGAGGCTCTTTTTTATATATCATCAGATTGAGTAAATGACTAAGTTTGTTGGAAGCCAGGGTTTGCATTATGGACATGAACTAAGTAAAGACTAGCAAAAACCCAAGGAGTAGATTGAAATTAGAGGTATCTGTATATACTTGCTATGTGTATAAACACATACATACATATAGTCACAGATATTTTAGTTCTGTGAGCTGAATGGGACTAGATGTGATGATACATCAATAGTAATAAATAAACCTAGAATTGATTTATAAATGTAATTGCCCATTGAAAGAAACTAGAACTTCTTGGAGAATTATCTGGTTTCATTTCAGAACTAGAAGTTGAAACTGAAACATCTTTCAGAATGTAAATAATGATTATGATTATTATTATTATTATTATAGCATAGCAAAAGGATAAAAGAGCCAGTTGAAAGTGGTTAATACTGGGAAAAATCTGTGATAATTTAAGCATAAAATAAATAAGGACAGAAATGCAAGATGATCCATTGAATAAAATAGGAAAGCATATTTTCACACTGAAAATAGAATAATTATAAATGTCAGATAAATAGATAGGTAGGTAGGTAGGTAAGTAGGTAAGTAGATAGATGATAGATAGATGATAGATAGATAGATAGATGATAGATAGATAGATAGATAGATAGATAGATAGATAGATAGATGGATAGATAGATAGATGATACACAGACAGATACACATGTAGAAACAAAAAGAGGGCTCTTCATTCTAGTAGAATGTAGAAGAAATAGTAATGATAGAAAAATCACCATTTTTCTACCATCACAGTAAAAATTAGTCCTGGCAAGAATCATAAATGATGCCAAATCTTGCCATGAAAGTTTATGAGGAAAATATCTCCCCATGGATTGGTTATTATTTGTAAGAGAAAAATAAAAAGTTAACACATTAATATTACCTTATATTTTCACTTTCATGAATTGACTCAGTGTATGCATGTTCAATAAATTGATAATTTCCTAAAAAGTACCAATACATTCTTCAGACCATTCTGCTAGCCCTTACAGAAAATAATTCCTATTGCTCTTTCATGGCTTCCCTATCTTAATTTATTTTAAATGACACAAAACTCTTCCAGATAGTAACTACATTTGAGTTTTATTCACAGAGTAGATTTTTGTTCAAGAACCCTGAGTTAATCTGTCCCCAAATCACTAAGAACTATTTGAATAGACTATAAATAATCTACTCCACAGGAGAATCGCATGGTGCAAACATTCTCCCAGGTTCAGAAGCAAAATCTTCATAACTAAAAATTTGTAGAAGTAGCATTATCATCACCACAACACATATGCAACTCTTACTGTGATAATAACTTCTTATGCATTCTCTAATTTCATATGAAACTGAGTAATGTGCTATAACTTGAATAGCCCATTTTAAGAACATTTATATGTAGATTTGCCCCCCACATTATTGCCCCTTGAAACTCTTTATATATGTTTTTATACATAAGTATATTTTGAAGAAGTTATATCTATTACAAAACTAAATACAGTTATGTGCTGCATAATGACATTTCAGTCAACAGCATACACAATGGTAGTCCTATAAGTTTATAAAGGAGCTAAAAAATTCCTATCACCTGGTGACATTATTGCTGTCGCAGTGTCTGTTGTAATGCAACACAATACATGTTTGTAGTGATGCTGGAGTAAACAAAGCTACTGAGCTGCCAGTTGTATAAAAGTGTGGCACATACAATTATGGGTAGTACGTACGTAGTACTTTATAATGATAATAAACAACTATGTTACTGGTTTATGTACTTAATTTACTATACCATTTATCATTATTTCAGAATATACTCTTTCTACTCATAGAAAAGTTTACTGTGAAACGGTCTAATATTATACCAGCAGCAGCCTCATACATTTTCTGTTTACCATGTGTCCTGATCGCATCATTTTCTTTGTGCTTGATTTTTAATCTTGTGTTATTTTATAAATTTAGTGTGGCCTTTGTATACAGTGTTTTAAATCTATAAGAGTGAAGAGTAACGTCCTAGACCTTCACATTTACTCACTACTTACTCTTTGACTCACCCAGAACAATCTCCAGTCCTGTAAGCTCCATTCATGGTAAGTGTCCTATACCATCTTTATGTTGTATACTGTATTTTTACTGTATGTTTACATGTTAAGATAGATAAATACTTACTATTATGTTACAATTACTTACAGTATTCAATACAATAATAATCTGTATAGGTTTGCAGCTTAGGTGCAATAGGCTGTACCATATAGCCAAGGTGTGTAGTAGGCTATACCATGTAGGTTTGTGTAAGTGCCCTCT